ATGTATGTTCAGGGCTGCATTACAACATTGATTGTTCGGATCACTGGTATCTAAGTCTTCCACTGTGTTATCTTGTACTTTGTATTGAAAGGTCGGTTCTTGTTCTGGTCTGCACGTTACAGTATGCAACAGTGCTACACTGCCCAGATTGTTTACTTATGCCGTCAATATCCTCGTGCTCATGCAGGGTGTTCAATTTTGCCTTTGCCTTTATCCGTACTGCCTGAATGGCCGTCCGAATGTGTTGCTTTATGGTGTCACTTACTTCCTCCCTTTGGCTACCCTGACCCCTTCCATAACGAGGGTGCACCTGTTCCACCATAATGTTCATAATTCGGCCCTTCTTCCTAGGGACAACAGGTTTGCCTTGAACCACTGGTACCTTTGCTGAGTGGGAAAATAGCGGGCCTCGGGTGGGCCTCCGACCTTATAGGAGGCCGAAACGAAACGACGGCCGCCGATGAGATTTATCAATGGCAGCCGTCGTCGGGCCCGATCTCCGAACTCTTCGGGAACAGCCCGTTGCCCTAATTTCCCAACTCTGGGGGAGGTACTAGTGGTTAAAGCACCAGTACACCACCACCATATATCGGCCCGCGGGTGCCAGCATGAAACCCGCACCACTTCGGAGGCCGCCAATTTTTTTTCTTTTCAACGGTGCCCCACTCTGCGCGGCCCCTCCGAGTTTTGCTTGTGGCGACAAAAAACTTTCTCCAAGGCTGGTGCCGTGTACTTGCGGTTTAAGAAAAAAAACAAAACAAAACAGGTTTGCCTTAAAGAGGTTTTGGTACTTATCAGGCCACGAATGACAGAGCATGGAGGGCCAATCTGTTGACCATGGCTCACCATCTGGCATCCATCTCCAAATTCTGTTGCACCACCTCCAGGTGAGGATAGCCCCGAGGGCTTTGCGAAAGAAAGAAAAAAAATGATGAATATGGAATGCCGGTTAAGCAGGCTTTGCACTAGGGAAGAAGGACTTCCCCCTTTGGTTTCAGATTAGAGTGGTCAGTTAAACCACCAGTACTTGGCCCAGCTATTGATCCCGAGCCTGAATATGCCCTGCGCGCCAAGTTTTGCCGAGCCACCACCGCGCCGTTTCGACTTTCTTTTGGCTGGCGTCTCCAGCCATTGCGGTCCGGTAGGCCGAAGCCCATCAGTCGCGGCGCGTTAATGGGAAACGCCCACGGCCGATGTATGGGCCAAGTACCATGCCAATCACCCATCTGTTCGAACTCCGAAGACATCTGTGCTCTTTTTTTTTTTTTTTTTTTTTTTTCTGGGACAAATGCTCCAATCTATTCGTGGGGAGCAGCACATGCTGGAAACCGGGTCCAGCATCCCATATGGACTTTTACAAAACATGTAAAGAGCCGGAACCATTGCCCAGCTTTGGCTAAGAGTTAACTGAGAAGACATCTGTGCTCCTTTTTTTTTTTTTTTTTTTTTTTTTTATAACTGCTCTATCTATTGGTGGGGAGTGGCACCTGCTGGGAACCGGGTCCAGCGTCCCATTGAAACATCATGAGGCACAGGTTTGCTTGTTTGTAATCCTAGGGCTGTGGATGCATCTGTTCTCAACTCGGGGCTCCATTTACCCTGTAGCTGCTAAATACACCCATCCCATCTTGGAGCACCCTTGTCTAAAGAACCAGCCCAGTTCTGCAGCCCCCCCGATCGTTAAAGCTATGTGTTGTCCTAAACCCTCTATGAACCCATGCATAACACCTATGAGATCTGGAAGGCCTAGGGCTGTGGAATGAGATGGATGCCTCCATCCCCTCTTTGTTTGTCTCTAGCTTCACTCCTTAACCTATAATGTTGCTAATACCCCAGTCCTGACCGAGCATGCGTGCTGCCGTGGGAGTCCCAAACCCTGCTTTAACCCTGCTTTACCCCTGCACTAAACCTTGTGAACAGACCATGACATTACATCACCACTGAGCCATTAGGAACAGCAAGACATTGCACTCTGAATCCAGACTCATTTGTTCCCGTCATATATCACCCCTTTTGGATCCCGTTTGGTATCTGCGCCACGCCCCCGACCCCGACCCTGTCTCAGGGGGGGGGCATGTTCTTTGTCGTCGAGCAGTATCCTGAGGTGATCATGGAGGTTGACATTGTCTCTTGCAGTCTTCACTGCCAGTTCAGACAGGCTGGGGCATGCCGGCTGGCCAGGGTTGGGGNACCAGTTTGGATCCCATTTGGTATCTGCATCGCGCCCCGACCCCCGACCCTGTCTCAGGCGGGGGCGTGTTCTCTGTCCTCGGGCGTCGTCCTGAAGGGTGGGAGGAGATTGTATGGTGGGCATTGTTACCTGCAATCTTCACCGCCGACTTAATCAGGCCGGGGCAAGCCGGGCGGGGAGGGGTGGGGAGGTGCGGGGTGGGGAGGTGGGGAGGGGGGGGGAGAGAGTGGTAGTGGTGGGGGAGGAGCAGGAGAGGGAGATGGCGGATCAGTAGGGAGGAAGGGGGGAGGGGTCAGAGATGGACTGAGGTGTGCGGGGAGTTGGGAGGGTGGTAGTGGAGATGGCGGAGGTGCCGAATGAGGCAGTGGGGGGGGCTGGGAGGGGGTAGCAGGCGGTGGCGACGCTGGGGGCAGGGGGGGTGGAGACGGAGTGGAGTGGGGAGGGGAGGGAGGAAGGGGGGGCGGCTGGGGGGGGGGGGGGGAGGGGTTTGTTGCCGGGAAAGGGTGTTGTGGCAACACCGTTCTGTCTTCCTCTAATGCGCCGTTGGTTTGACCCGGTAGAGCCGTGAAAAAGTTGTGTGAGGGTCGGAGCCTCCATTGTGTTTCTCGGGCTACCCAGTTCTTCCATACTAGGACTCCGTTCTCCTTCAAATCTGCCATCTTTTTATTTATTTATTTATTATTATTATTATTAAACACCCCCACCGGTGATAGTGGTGCTGATAAGAGCAGACACCCCTACCACCCGGGGAGAGGCTCCATCTATTGGTGGGGAGCATCACCTGCTGGAAAACGGGTCCAGCGTCCCATGTACAGATTGTAATCAGAGAATATCAGGAAAAACCACGTGGGGGAATCCTGCCAGCATTGATTGCCCTGAAATACAGGGGATTCACTGAGCAGAACTTAGAAAATGAGACTTTGAAAAATAACTGGAGGAAAGACTGGAAAATAACTAGGAAAAAGCCTGTTCTGACTGTAACATCAAACCAGCTGTCCTTAATCTGCAGACACCATGGGCCGAGCGTCTCCCCGCCCATTTTTGCTGGGAACAGCTACCCTTATGCAAGAAGATACCTAGGCGAGTACCAAGATGATGTGACTGGATGGCGCCTGCCAGCGTTGATTGCTCTGGAGTCCAGCTGGTTCTCTTCTCCTTCAACCCTTTTTTCTGCTCAGGATACCGGGAGGAGCCACTGGGGGGCACCAGTGGGGCCTTCTTCCGTCACCCTCGGGCGGGAAAAACAAAGCAGCTTGGACTGTTTTTTTTTTTTTTTTTTTTAATTTTTAAACTGGCTCTAGCTGCTAGTGATGATGATAAGAGCATCAATCACTAGCAACCCAGCCATTGGCTCCATTCTATTGGTGGGGAGCTGCACCTGCTGGAAACCGGGTGAATGCTAGGGGCACTGATAAGAGAAGACGCCGCTAGCAAGCCCGGGGAGGCTCCGTCCATTGGTGGGGAGCAACACCTGCTGGAAAACGGGTCCAGCGTCCCTATGAACAATCAAAAATCATGTAAACATGCCACGTGTCCATCCTACTGTAAACAAAAGGAGGTCATGCACCGACACGTAGGCATGCTGCGTTAGCCTAATGAGCAGCGACTATTGCTCTCAATCGAGGAATCAGCTGCCCATCACTCCATATGATCATACCCCTACTCAGCAATCCCCATCGTGTAATCAGATCTTGCAGCACCATGGGGAGGGGAGGAGACTATCCAAATAGGGAAACTATTGCTAAAACCCTCAATAGGGAAGCCATCGCTAGGGCCATGGCACCCCCTGTGTTTATACCACAGGGATATGACCCCTCGGATGGATTAGTAAAAATCGAAATCATATGGTTATGCCACGTGGCAACCCCAATCTAAACTAGAAAATTTTGTCCGAGCGGCGGCGCAGGCACATACCCTAAACTCACATCAGCCGAGCCATGGCACCCCCTATGCACCGCCTCGTCTGCCACGTGGTGAATCCCAGTGTCTATACACATATGTTTAATCTAGTGAGCAGCATTGATTACCCTCAATAGAAGGGATTGACTGCCCACCCAAGCATGAATTCACACCCCACCCCGATATACTCATGTAGCACCCAAAGAGCATTCAGCACCATGAGCAGAAGAGGCAGTCAGAGCAGGCTTCCCTAACAGCCAACTCCCAATATCCAAGTGGCGGGCCCAGATGAATTACACACGAAAAAAATTCCATAGCGCCACCTCCCCCGGCCCTTCCTTCCCCGCCCTCCCCCCGGATCGTCAACGCGATTGCAATGGAGAAAGGACGCCTGGGGAGAGAAGGGAGCAGATATGGCAAAACAATCCAATATCAATCCTACCCCCTCGCGTACCCCTCCCACCCCCCCATCCAGTATGCTGAACGAAGCATTCAAACAGCCCTCTCGCCCTCCCACCGGTTCGTCGACACGATCGCAAAGGAGAAAGGACAGTGGGGGGGAAGAGGGGGCGGGAGAGAAAGCGAAACCCCCCATCACACTTACCCAACCGTCATTGTCGAGCTTATTGATGTTGTTTTGGTTGTCACCGTTGTTGTTATCGTTGTTGACATTTGTTGTTGCAATCCAGCGTGCACGAATCCACAAATTCCACGCTTGCACCAGGGCCATGCGCAACAATCGCTGTGTTGCTGGCGCCCACAATCTCGGCTCCGTGGTTGCTGTTGTTGTTGATATTGCCGTTTTTGTCGTTGTTTCCGCGCGCGCCCAAGCTCTCGATCCCCATGTTTGCACCATTGACCTGCACGCGTTGGTTACCGTTGTTGACGTGTTCACGACTGTTGATGCTTGCGTCAGTATTATGCTCCTCTTCCGTCTCCAAGAACAGGTACCACTCCTCCAGCGCTGCATACGCATCCTGCCCCTCCTCGAAGATGTCGTAGCAACCCCGCTTCAGAGTCTCGTCCTGATGACCATCTATGAGACCATCCCATCACAAAGCCGGCCCCTCCTCCAACTCCCGGATGATCTGCAACATGTTACTCATCCCTTCCTGGAACGGCGGGTTCGATGAAGCTGCCCCCCCACTAGCCTCAAATCGAGCTCCCAATTGTGATCGCAGTGCATCAACCATCACCCGTAAACGACGTCGAATAGATGAGAGCCATTCGGCAGCTCCTCGCTGCTCATCTCCCATTGAAGCCATCTGCACGCATGAACCGCCTTGAAATCCGCGCCGACAAACTCCCACGCTTCCCTGCCAATCCCACATTTGATGGGGCTGCCACGTCAGCGTCGCCACGAACGTGGGGCAAGACGCGTGGCTCAAACCGCCCTCCGTCAGCCTACGTGGGCGCCCGATCGCGTGGAGGGCAGCAGGGCCCTGCCGGCTGCGACCACGCGGAGTGTTAGCGTCATAGACGCATTTCCAAGGACCATGGGGGGGGGGGGAATGGGTCCGGGAACTCTTCTGCGGGCCTCATGGGAACACTCGAATCTATCAGCAGCCATTCTTTGAATCTCAGACGGTAGTCCCTTGGGACTTCGTCTCTCTGGCTGCCCTCCCTTCCTTCCCGACCTTCCCAATCACCCGACCAGCGCACTTCCACTACCCATCCCTCCTAGTCTTCACCCAACCATTCTCTAGAGAACAGTAATAGCCGTTCCCTAACATCATTGGCGCTATGGAAGTTGTCGACTGATTGCGTAGTTGACTTCCACCTATGCGAGAGCTCCAGTTGGAGGTGCATTTTGAATTGTTCAACTCTCTCTTCCCCTTCTACCCTTACCTGATCCAAAGTTAGGACACAGCGCTGCCACCACAACACCCAGAAGATCTTTCCTCGAGATAAATGAAAGATGTTGGACACGAAGGTGCTGTCTTGGAAGGGTGGGTAGTATCCCATTAGGATGGCCCGCCAATCCCACGGCCATGGATGCCCCGGGACCATTTGTCGCCACACCTGTGACCTATCTCACCATCTCCAAGTCAAAATTGCTGCTGGGCATTGCAGAAAAATGTGTTCAATTGTCTCTGCTCTTTTGGGAAGCCCAACAGGCAGTGGGAGCACCAAGGGAGCGCACAACCTTGTTGTTCCAGACGAGAGTGATCAATTAGCCAGTCATTCGTAGGTAAGCATTGATGCAAGATCTACCACTGCAATGAGGTGATTTTCGCAGGTCTTCACTTGGAATCATGGAACCATCGTACTGGTGTGAGGAGGTGCCTCTCTACATTGAGATGCTTCTGCCATTTATCAATCACCGTGTCCTTTAGGCATCGCTTGACTCTGAGCATTCTATACGTCGCTTTCACCGAGAGCCCCGACAATGTTTTAGGCCTAGGCTGTCGCGGGTTTTGCCATGAGTCGGGGTTCCAAAGCCATTCCAACGGATCTATTTTGAGATCTTCTAAGGCTATCTCAAGGAAAAAGGCCCGCCGACTGTCTCCTTCCGCAACTACCTTGGTTTTGTGTAGTTCCTCCTTCGAAGTCCATTGGAAAGGGTCCCGGTACCCTACCAGTCCCCCGCTTCCTGTTATGCTGTACCACTCAATCAACGCCTCATCTGACCGTACTAGATGAACCAGGCCTACCTTGTCTAACTTCTCTTCCGTGGACACCAGTCTCCTTCTTTCAGCACCGGCCCTTTTTGAAGAATGGGCCACCATCCTATCGGGAAGACCTCTGATATTTCTTCCAAAGCCGCCCCAACATTGTGGCAGTATCTCAATTCTTCCCTCAATTTCTCTGGGCCCTTCCAAGTTCCAATCCTTTTTCTCCCTGTCCCAGACAGCTCCGCAACGGCGGTGGTCCAGGCCAGGGTGAGGGCTTTGAGGGAAGATAGTAGCGAGTTGCAGGGCGTTTTGAATTTCCTGCGAGAGTAAGATTAGGTCAATACGTGATTTTGAATGTCTAGCCTGATCATTAGTGCGGTAGGACGTATAGGTTTTATCTGTCGGATGTAAGAGTCTATACGCGTCCACCAGGGACAAGGATTCACAGAGATCTGACAATATTCTCTCATCCTCCTCAACTTAGCCCGGGCATGGGTCCCGTGAGCCCCATTTGTCCATCCATCTACCATGAGCAGCGTTAAAGTCTCCGGCAATAACCAGAGGGACTCCTTGAGGTGCTAGAGCTTGAAGATGGGTGAGCGGTTCGGGTCAAGCCAGATTTCTTTGAAGGTTTCAGTGATCTGTTCTCTCTGCAGTTGGTCTGGAGTGGTGGCCAGGTCCGCTTTAAGTTTTGTGTTATCCTTTGTTATGTTTACTCTCATCACTTCCAGGATCTCCTCCTTGGCTTGTATCAGGCCAAAAGTTTGTTCTTTGTATTCAAAAGAACACCTCATCCTCCATATTGCCATGAGAATGGCCAGTCGGGTGAGCTTGAATAGGTGGTGTTGGAAGCACGACCAGGACCACATGATTTTTTTATAATTACCTAGTAAAATGAGCCCCACATCCCATTGCAAGGGAGTGTTTGTGAGCTTGATCCAAAGCGCGTCCCACCATCTCCATACCTGAATGGCCATTGGACATGCAAGCAAACAATGCTCAAGGTCGGCTCTTCGCCGTGGCGTCGAGTGACTGCAGTAGGAACAAATCAGGGACAGGATTCTGGCTTGCTCTAGACTGGACTTGGAAGTTTACCAGTCTGGGGTCGGGAGGCAACGGTGCACGATTTGCCACTGAAGGGCCCGATGCGAAATTGGCATTATGTGCGCATATGTGGACCACGTGATGCCCGAGAGGTCTTCTGGTGGTACCGAGGAGTCCCGTTTCCATCGGTTCTGGACCACCAGGGACGATGACTGGGGTTGGTGGGCTTGTTTGTAGCCTCCTTTGACTGTGAATTGCCAGATCATCGGAGTGGGATTGTGGCCTGGCCACTCCCATTCCTCCGGGTCAAAAGGGACTGCACAGATTGGAGAGGACATTTCATACCCAAAATACCCTGTGTCGTCATCCCCCACCACCGTGATTCTCGTCAGGGAGTCTTCATGATACTGGCAGTCTAGTTCATGGCTCCTTTTTAGATGGGTCCAGCGAGCTCCTGGGGCATCTAGTTCGTACCTTTGGAGGTGGGCCCTGTTGCCTGCCATTTTGTGCACTCTGTAAATGGTCATGGGAATGGGGTTGGGGTCATTTATTTTCACCCAATCCCTCTCTTTTATGTTAGGACCTTGTTTTAGCACCGCGACCTAATTAAGCGGGACCACTTCTTGGATTTGTAGGAGTTTTCCTAGTAGATTGTGAATTCCTTTGAGCGTCGGCCCGAGTCTTTGTGTCGCGGCCCATGTGTTGTTTTCTATGTCCCAGAGGTCCCCCAAGGTAAGCACACCTCTCTCCACCCATGCCCTCCAATGGGAGTTTCCCGATAAGGCAAGGGTTCGACCCATATCATCGCGAATCTGCGGGTTCCCAAAGAGTGGTTGCCGCCATATCTCATGCCATCGGGAGGGGGGGGGGTGGCTTCTTTGTTAGGCCCATCCCCCTCCAGAGGTGTATGATGTTGGTCCAGAGGGGGTCATGTTTGAGGTCCCATCTTGCGTTGTTTCTAGGTGAGCCGTCTCTCTTGTGTTTGGGGGGCGTCCGGATTGTCCACGCCGGGTTCGTTAGCCACCTGAGCGGGTGGACCGGGTTGTCGCTCAGTGAGGGGGGTCGAGGAGGGTGAGTTGGACGTATGCCAATGGGAGCCATGACACGTCGTTAGCGAGCAGGATCTGATAATCACCTTAAAAATAAAGGCTCTTATCTCATCTCCTGGGTCCAAAATGCCCAACCCACCCTTTGTTTTTGGTTGGGTGATGTACTTCCAAGCCACCCGCTTTATGTACTTTGCTTGGACATGGTCATTCTTCCATAAATAGACCGCGCCGACCGTTCGTAGTTGAGCCAGTTGCTTCTTTTGAATTTCCCAAAACGCTGTTTTGTACCAGATTGAGGCCAAAACTGCGTTGTTAATCGCGAGCGCCCTGCCAATTAGTGAGGTATGCAGGCCGTCCCAGTTAGCCAGTTTTCGAAGCGCCGTCTGTACTAATGCCTGTCCATGATCCTTTGGGGGACCGAGCGCCGTTAGTCTGATCCCAAGTACCGATATCGCATCTTGTTTGCTGCGCCAATTCACTTGGGGACTTGAAGGGGGGGGAATACCTTCGGGCTGAACCACCAGCCTTCCGTTTTAGTTCCCCAATTCACCTTCATATCTGCTGCCGCTGCAAAAGTTTGGATAGTGTTTGTTAGCGCCTGTAAAGATGATTGGGTGACCTTTATTAGGACGGCGAGGTCGTCAGCAAATAAGGATGTGACTGGCGTGAGGTTGGGGGGAAGCTCAGGGATGTCTATCCTTTCTATTTCCGGGTTAGCGCGGATCATCGCTGCAAGGGCTTCTATCACTAGCACGAAGAGGAGAGGGGCTATGCGGTCCCCTTGCCTGACCGACCGGTGGAGCTCGAAGGGAGGGGACAGGTGGTCATTCACCAGGATGTTGGTAGCTGCTGATCTGTGCATTATGGACACCCACAATCTGAACCCATCCACGAAATTCATTTTGGCCACGCAGCAATCCAGAAAATCCCAATCGACATGGTCATATGCTTTTTCGAAGTCTATGAACAACAATGCCGCCTCCCTCTTGTGTTGTCTGGCGTATTTGATAGTTTCGTTCACCAGCAGCACGTTGTCTTGGATGTTCCTTTGGGGCACGGACCCTGTCTGGTCTTGAAATATGAGACTGTTCATGAACGGGAGAAGCCTGTCGGTGAGTGCCTTTGTGACCATTTTGTATGGGAGGGGGAGAAGCGTGATTGGTCTATAATTGCGGATGTCTGTCTTGTCCCCTTTTTTGTACAACAGTGTAGTTACCCCTTGGCTAATGAGCCCGCCAAATGACCCTTCCTCCTGGACTGCCTGTACGTACTCCGCTATACTTGGTTTGAAGGTATCCCAGTACTGTAGCCAGAATT